ACTTTGAGTAGCACTGTTGGGGGTACGCATTCCTGGGGCAGATAGCAAGGTACATGTTTAAATAAGAATTGACTTCCCGCACCTCCGAGCCCCCTGCTAGCAGACTGGGAGAGCCCGGGAACCATGCAGCATTAAACAGAGGTCCAATTTTAAAAGACAACACTCAACTCCATTTGTCTTGTAAAACTGATAGAACCAGTTTCTGACCCTGGTGTGTCCATGGATACCAGGTTCATGACCCTGCCCAAAAGACGGAAAAAAACACCCAAGTAGTTGGAAGGTAACTACCAGCATTTGGGTAGCCTGGTGGAACCGTGACACAGCATCAGACATCTGCTTTTGTTTGCAGAACAGGTGGCATGTGCCCTTTGTTCCATTTCCTTTCTCCCCCTCTCCTGAGTCGCCAGGCCCCCACCTGCCTGTCCCAGCTGCTGGTGAGGGCTGTTGGTCATGTTTGTTGGTCCTCAGATGATTGAGATTAAAAGTGTCTTAACTTGTCAGATTAAATACGCCTGCCTCTGGAAGTCTGAACTGAATGTGCTGGGCAGAGTCCTCGGATTTTTTTGTAGTGGGAATTCAGTCATCTTCATGGAATCCTTGTGTGCTTTGCAACATGGATGTGCTTAGATTTGCATTCTGCTTTGAAGTCTAGAGACTTCTAAAAAGAGAAAAGACATTGCTAACACCACATAGATCTTCCTGGGGAAGTTGAAATATTTGTGTGACCTTGAAACATAGGACTTGTGCATTTGGAAGAAGATGGCTAGGCTCTGTAGACTGCTGAATTAAAAAAAAAAAAAAAAAAATATATATATATATATATGTATATGTATATATATACACACAAATACATATATATAAAATGCAAGAAATCACAAACTGCTAGGTGGCATCTAATTCTGCTTTTAATCAACAGTTTGGGAACTGTTGATTAAGAGGTGACCCCTTGTAGTCATGTGATGAGTGGCCACGGTTGTTTCCTGGGAGGTGAGCTTCTCCGTGTTTCAGATTTGCCAGCTACACAGGCACCACTGGTTTCCCCCGTCTGCTTTGCTGCCTTTCTCTTCTTGCTTGTTTCTGGTTCCACAGTTCAGCTCAGCCTTCCTGTGGCACAGTCTGTAGGCTAGTGATGCTTCCAGGGTACCTGAGGGTACAGGGAAAAGGCCTTTGTGGCCAGGGGCCATGAGGGATCAGCACTTTGGATCTCAAAGTTAAACTGTTACCCTCCACCCAGTTTCCCCCAGTGTCAATATCTTGCAAAACTATGATTTAATACCACAATTAGATTTCTTCTCTGCATTACAGGAAGCCCATAGTCCTTTTAAGTGGAATTGTTTCATTTAAAAAGGCTTTATAATGTGCTATTTAAAAAGAGCAAGCTATAGAAAAATGTACAGTATGATGCGCAATTTTACAAAGTTCAAGAGAAACTGCATGTGTTTTCTGGAGATATACACCATATGTAGTAAAATAAAGGAAAGCAAAGCAATTACAGAAGTCGTGTCTAACTGTCATCTCTAGGGAGGAGGGGCAGTGAGATGGAACAGGCATTGCTCACAGGCAACAGATTTGGTGGTGCTCAACTTCTTAAGTTGGTGGATATATAGAATTTTAGTGTTCATGTGCTTTATAACCTACATGTATATTTCTCTTCTAATAGTATCATCCTTTGTCATAATAAGAATGCTTAGAAAGCAATGTCTTAGCATAGTTCTCATTTTTGGCCCCTTTGTATTAATATTTTAAAATTACAAAAATAATAAAAGGAACCGCAGAGGGAGGGAACTTCTACAACCCTGCACCCATGACACAGCTACTGTTTCATTTTATGCTCCCTGTACAAATAGCTATGGCTGTTTATGTTCTTAGTTATAATTGCAGTGCACGTAGCTGTTCATCTTACACAGTGGACTGATGGTCTTTCTATAGGGTGGTTTTCATGGCTTAGTGGTATTCCCATGAGTAGAATTCCCTTGGTGGAATAAACTGTTTCAACTTCTCCACTGTTCCAGAGCATCGTCAGGATTCTTACATTTATTCCACAACTAATTCCCTACACTGAAGTCATTCTGCTGCATACTAGAATTATAATGATAAGCCCAAAGAGCTTTAATCTCCATATGCTTGTGGAACTTAGAATCTAATGAAGAACAGTTCCTGATATTTTTTTTTGCATTTTGACCCACATCTGTCCTTAGACTTTAACTTTTTATTTTAGTGAATTTTGGATTCACATGTTATTGCAAGAAATGAAACAGAGATTCCATTATGCCCTCCACCCAGTTTCCCCCAGTGTCAATATTTTGCAAAACTATGATATAATACCACAAATAGGACATGGACGTTGAAACAGTCCACCAGTCTGATGGCACCAGTTTCACGTTTGTTCATTTGTATGTTTGTCTGTGTGTCTGTACGAGTCTTCTGTGCCATTTTATTACATGGTAGGCGGCTGCAGCCACCACTACCATCAAGACTCAGAACAGTTCTATCGCCAGGATACTGCATGATACCCATTTACAGCTATAACTATTTCTTCTCTTCTCCCTAGCAATCATGACTCTGTTGTCTGTATCTGTGAATCACACATTGTACAACCTTGTAGTATTGGAGTTTTTCACTAAGTGAAATTTCCTTGAGATCATCCCGGCTCTGTGCATCAGTAGCTTGCTCCTTTCAAGACTGAATAGTATTTCACTGTATGCATGTATTTATATGCCTGTTGAAAGACATTTAGGCTGTTTCTAGTTTTGTTCTGCCATGAATAAAGCTGTTGTAGACACCTCCTTAGTCTTTATTATGATGATTATGTGGAAGAGGATATTAGTAAGACTTTTGGCCTCTGTACCCCAGCCACTTGTGTCTATTCCCGTATTTGGAGAATCTTTATTGAACCCAAAATCAGCCTCTGGTGAAGAGCGTAGTGTTTTGACTTTAATATTTTGTACCTTAAAATACATCAGTTTTACCAGGTGCAGTGGTACACGCCTTTAATCCCAGCAGCTCAGGAGGCTGAGACAGGAGGATCTCAAGTTCAAAGGCAGCCTCAGCAACAGCAAGGCACTAAGCAACTTGGTGATACCCTGTCTCCAAGTTAAAAAATATAAAATAGGGCTGAGGATGTGGCTGAGTAGTCGAGTGCCCCGAGTTCAATCCCCAGTAACCGCCCCCAACAAAATACATCAGTCTGTGTGGCTAAACTCATCTTTTGTTCTTATATTTATTTAGTTATTGTCTTAGTCTGTTCAGACTGCTATAAGAAAATACTGTTGACTTGGGGAAGGGGAACTTGTAAATAATAGGAAATCATCTCTGCAGTTGTGGAGGCTGGAAGTCCAAGGTTGAGGTATCTGAAGATTTGGTGTCTGGAAACGGCTTACTTCCTGGTCCATAGACAGCTGTCTTTTGGTTATAACCTGACATGGCAGAATGGGTGAGGGACCTCTCCTTTAAGAATCCCATGTCATTCACTTTGGGGATATTATCTCAACAGACTCACTTCGGGGGACATGAAGTGCATCTTCGTTGTTCTTTAGAACTTATGAGGGTGAACCCTGGTTTTCTCTTGGATTGCTTGTCCCTGAGGAATGGGGACCTGCAGGAGCCTTTCTAGACAGAGAGGTTTCTCCATAGACACTTGCTCAGTGAATGCCTGATCCTTGGAGTTGATGGGAGGTATTTGAAAGGGTTGGGAGACTCAGAGGGCAGATAAGGCACATCTGGATTTTAAGCCTAAAGCTCTGATCTTACTTCTGACCTCTGAAAAATAAACCTCCAGAGTTTTGAAGCCTCCTTCAAAACCAGAAGCAATGGAACAGTATTGCAGCATGTTGGGTTTGCTGTATGTCGATGGAGCCCTGGAGCTGGGTGCACAGCAGAGCAGGAGGGAGGGAGCACAGGCACCACTGTTCTGCTGCAGGGAGACTCTGGTTCCAGTGTGTCTTCTGGAATGTCATGAGTCTATAGAGTAGAAAGCGCGTGGGCCACATGGGGGGTGGTGCCAAAAGGTGGTTTGGTGACCTGTTTGGTTACTAAGTGTTTATGATGTAGGTCAGATGCTCAGCTGCTGAGATTTTTATTGTTTTCCTTTTGAGTGGTTGGGTGCGGTCCTTGCTTTCCGAGAAGGTGGAAAGTCCAGGAGCCCCAGAGGCTGGGGAGTCGCTCTCTTGCACAAGTGAAGCTGGCCTTGGCCATATGACGACTGGCCAGCAGCATGTGCCCAGAGACTTGGTCAGTGCAGGGATGATGTGACCTTGGTGCCTTGTCAGTGAGCTGGCGGGGAAGGGGGGCATCCCTCGAAGATGATGGCAATACCCTAGGTGGCTCTCGTTTGCTTTTTACTTCTTTTTCTGTCCCACTGCTCTTGAGAAAGTCTAAAATCTTCACCTGGGAATAGTAAGGTCTGAAGTCTGATTCTGATGTGCTTGTCTCAGATTCCTCCATGCTGTGAACACATTCCTCACTCTGCGGTCCACACTTGGGCCACCTTCCCCAACTTCCCACAGCGCCCCCAGGTCTGTGGCGTGCACTGATTATTGTGCCTGTAACACCAACACCTGCAGCAGTCATGTGGACTGCAGCCCTCAGTGAGACCCAGCTTGCTCTTGGGAGCCTTCCCGAGCTTCCACCCCCCAACACCTGGTGCTGTGGCATACATGCATTCCTTCATGCCGTCCTCACCTGTGATGGTGGCCCTGACTCTCAACTAGCTGCCATCAGCATCCACCACCCCAGACTGTCCTGAGGACGATGACCCTGTTTCTGTTCACTGTTGACTCTGTAGTGCCTGGTGTAGCACTTGGCACGCAGTAGCTGCTACTCCTTAAGTATTTCCCGAATTAAAGACTCAAATCAAGAAAATATTGTGACATGGAGTTTATTATTGTAAAATGGACTTAGTGCATGTTTTTAAGGGCCAGTTATATATGGCTATAAAATTATTGAAGTGTCTTAGAAGCCTGAGAACCATAATTCTTTCCTTTTTTTTTTTTTTCTTTCAGGCGGGGACCAGGGCTTACTGAACACATTTTTTAGCAGCTGGGCAACAACAGATATCAGAAAACATCTGCCATTTATTTATAACCTAAGTAGCACTTCTGTATACTCCTACCTCCCAGCATTTAAAGCGTAAGTGCGGGTTGCTTCACTGCTGTGGGACAGGGAGGGTGGGGGACTGGGGTGAAGGTTCTTTGGGCGCTTCATTATCTTTTTGAGGGAAATCCCTGTTGGGGACCTGGGGGAAGTTTTTCTCTTGTGAGAAACGGATGGGAGAGGTTTGATGTCATCGATTGCACTGTGATTGGAGTAAACTGGGGTTCCTGAGCTGCCTGGGGGACAGGGTTCCTATGGACACTGGGTGCCCAACCTTAGGTGACTCCTCATGCTGGTCTGGAATGCAGAATGTGAGGTCCACAGCCCAGGCACAAGCCTCCTGCCTGCAGGCACTGCCAAGTGTGGGTCTCCTTCTCCCTGAGAGTGTGAATTGTGCCTCCAGATGGGTGTGGGGAGCCTGGAAACAGGAGCTCCATGGGCCGTAATTTGGAGTGAGGGATTGGAGCCTGGTACAGCCACTTGGTAGATGGTGACCAGGGCTGGATGGGCAGCAGCCTCCGCCTCAGGGTCTTCCTGAGAGGTAAGCATGCCACTCAGCCAGGGGAGCACCTGGCCTGCCCCTGGAGCTCAGGAAGTGGGAGCTTCTTGTCATGTTGGTTGAGAGCCAGCACAGAGTTCAGACCCATTCCTGAAGCCAGGGCGGGGGCTGTGTCCTGCTCTGCCATTTACCCGCCATGTCTCAGTCCCCCACATGCTGAACTAGGAGGAAAATGGTGTCTGCCTCGTTGGCTGTCAAGAGGAACAGTGTGTGGGGCTGGGGTTATGGCTCAGCAGTAGAGCGTTTGCCTCGCACATGCAAGGCCCTTGGTTCGATCCTCAGCACCACATAAAAATAAATAAAATTATTGTGTACAACTACAAAAAAATAAATATTTAAAAAAAAAAAAGAGGAACAGTGCATCAGTGCACATCGAGTGCTCACTGGACATCTGCTGTTTTGGTAACGTCCTCGTGTGGCACGGTCCCTGGTGCAGTCCTGATACTACCTCACTCTCTCCTGCCCTCTAGCCTCTGACTCATTGGTGTAGAACTTGAAGATTCAGATTTCTTGAACAGGGGCCTAGCTGTCAGGCTGATCCTGAGCACTGAAGCCCTCAGTTGGAGTTGGGCTGGTCTCTGCCATCCCTGTGGCGCAGGGACATTCCTTTAGTGAGCTGGAAAACAAAGGGCCTTTCACTCTCCAGGTTGCAGACCCAGAGCCTTCCGTCCTCCTTGTGCTGCAGTAATGAGAGAGTCTGGCTATTTGTGGGAGTGTTTCCTTTTCTGTTCTTTTTCAGGGCACACTCTGTCAGCGTCCCCCAGATAAGGGTGACAAGGATCATACCACCTTGTGTTCTGTCCTCCCTGCTCCTTGGCATCTGCTTCTGACTTATTATAGCCTTCCAGTCCCCCTCCCATCTGCAGGGATGCAGGCAAGCTCCAGAACCTACCATCTGAACAGCAGACCGAACAGGGCTCCCTGATATTTTCACTTCTGAGTCCTTGACCTCGGAAAATACAAATCTGCCTTGCCTGGGATGGTGGGCCTGAATTATTTTAATCCTTATTGCCTCATACCTAATGCTGCCATTTTGAATAACGTTTCTGTACAAACCATGTCAGCCTAGCCCTCCGGAGTAGAATTTGTCAATAGCAGGGCAGTTGCTTATAGCTTAATTGACTAAATTTAGCTTAGCAAGCAAAGAGGTGAGAGTGTTTGATAGTGGGACCATTGCCCGGTGAGCAGGTGTCTTGGGATGAGACATTGGGGAGGCAAGTCTGACATCTCCCAGTTGGCCTGAGTGCCCAGTCAGAGAGAGCCGAGTGTTTAATGGGTAACTGTTTCCCTGTGGTTTAGTTTGACTAAACCATTAACATGGGAGAATCAGAGCAGGTGGAAAGGAGTTTACTTTGGGGCAGGGAGATTGACGTCTGCTATGATGTTGACTCCCTTCTCTTAAGAACCCAGTTGTTTTATATCCTGTAAATTAATTTTCCAGGAAAAGTTTCAGGTCTAAATTTCCAGAATGGCTGGATGGTTTCTTGTTTCTGGTTCAATGAATGAGCGCTAATTTTGGAAATCTTGGTTTATTGCCATTAGCACGGAGTGTGACGCTGTGGAAATGGGGAGCGTCAGTGTGCGTTGGCCAGACGTCAGCTGGCGGACAGGAGCAGTGCGGCTTCTGCGCAGGGCCCTGGGGACATTCACTCTACACACCTGTGACAAGACTGCTCCAAATGATGCCTCCCTGGCCCACTGCCACCTGTTAAGGAGTATTGAACGCAGACCAGAGAACTCCTTTTCCCTTCTCTCTGCCACAACACATTTTTGCTTTTCTTGCAGAGAACTATCTTCAGGGGCTTTTTTCCTTGTATGTCCTTACCCTTGAGGAAGGAATGAAGAGATGTAGGAAGTAGCTTTTATGTTTTAGGTTCGGTCATCTAAGTCCTTTTGCTGAAGTAGCCCATGCTGAGTGGCAGCTTCCATAGCTGGTCCTCAAAGAACCTGTGGCTGCAAGGCCCCACTACTGGGTCCAGAATGACTACCACAGCAGACTCCAGGACGAGGTCACTCTGTCATAAGCGGACTTCCCTAGGTTGCCACGGTGGTGCAGGTGGAATGGAGACCAGGGAGTGGTTTGGAGTAACTTGGGCTTGGTGGCAGAGTAGCTGGAGAATCTGTCTCAGGTCTCCAAATGGCTATGCACCATTAGGTCACCAAGGCATATCTAGACATCCCAGAATGTTGGGTCTTAGCTATCTTAGAACAGTGCAGCCCTTGAACAGTGTGCTATTATGTGAAGTTTCAGCTAAAGAACAGCCTGATTGAATCAAACTGGACATGAATTTGAGCCTTGAAGTGGTTCATATCTAATGTCTTTCTCTACATATCATATGCACAGAAGAAAGCACAAAGGAAACAGACTTGATAGTTTTACACTTTGAATATAGCTTCTGAAAAACAAATTTAGCAAGTAATTTTTCTGTGTAATAGAAGATCCTCTTTAACATAGACTAATTTGAGAGCTAAAATGTTTGGTTTAGTCATTATTAAGTTAATTTGTAGTGTATGCATTGGAAAACAAGTTATATATATGTTTCTTAATGAAATACTATTATTAAAAGTGCCATGGATGGTGTTTGGGATATAGTTGACTTTTAATGAATATTAGTGGTTTTTTTGTTTTGTTACATTTCTCCAACTGGAGGGTCTGCTTTATTGACGTACCATAGAATTTAGTTTGTGAATAGTGCTTAAAAAAAAAAAATCTCATTTGTCTTTTTAAAATCAGTTATTTGGTGCCGTTTAGCTTTCTGTTATATCCTCTAACAGATTTTTAGGTTATATCATGCTCCATAAAATATGCCTCAAGCAAAAATGCAGAATTTTCTGGTGTTGCTTCAAACCGGTACAGAAACAAATGGTCAAATGGATTGACTAACAGCCAGATTTACAAAATACATTTCATGTGGACACTTTACCCTATGGCTTGAGTTTAAATATGACCCCAAACCTGGTCTACTGAAAAATCTTTAAATTCTTACAATTTTTTTTTTTAACATTTTTGAAGCTATTCACATACATTTCTTTTTCAAGAATGAGTCTTATTAACAAAGACCTCATCACACATATTTTAAATCAGTACTTCCCTGACAGAAATCAAACCTCAGGTTTTACGGCTCCTGGGAGCCCCCCACCAGGCGATGGTTCCTCCTGTCCCCTGGCCCTGGACTCCTGCTCTCCCCAGGACCATTTTCTGTGAACCTGTAACCTTTGTACGTTCATTTCTTTTTATATTCCTACCTCCTGGCCCCCAGGCCTGAGGCTCCTATAGTGTGGGCCACTCTTCTTTTCCAGCCTTTTGTTGACCTGCTGGCCATTTTGCCATCGGGCAGACCTGGAGCATGGCTCACCGCAGGCCCCGGAGATGAACAAGACACACCTGCTCAGGCGAGCAGTGTTCCCTGGCCCATAGGGCTCGGCCCGCCTCGGGTCGATTCTGGAGGAGGGGACCAGCTGCTGTATGGGTGCCCGTTCCTCTTGTCTGGGTGTTAGAGGTGCCTGTGTGCCCACTTCTGAATGGGCCCTCTGGTCGCTGCTAACTTCACCTCCAAATGTTTCGTTTTTCAGAAGATCTGTCCTCTGCTACCTGTTCTGCTGACCTAAATTTCATCAACAGCCATTACTTGTTTTTTTTTTTTTTCTCCTTTTTATCTGTCCTGTGGATTGAATCCCAGGGCCTTGAGCCTTCTAGGCCAGCTTCACTCAGTCCCCGAGTACACCCCAAGCCCCACCCCAGCCTTTAGAGGCTGCTCTGATGTCAGGTAAAAAAGAGCTCCTGGGCAGAAGAAGTGCAGTTAGCTTAGCAGTACCACTTCAGTGACTGGCAGGAGGGAGCAGGAGGCAGACCGTCCTCAGAGGCCGCAGGCCTGTGGGCTGCATGCTGTATTTGTGCCACAGACAGACATGTTTCTACTATGCAGAATTTTCTTTCTTTTTTATTTTTAATTCAATGATCAATGCTTAAAATGTCACGAAACCCAGGTTTCTAACTTCTTTTGAAAAAAATCAAGCATGCGGTGGGCTGTGTCACATGTGGCTGTTGGGGGGGTCTGTGCCCGAACAATGGAAAGGAGTTTTGTCTCCTGAAATGGGAGGGAGGTGAGGGAGGCAGGGGGGCAGGGATTAGGGAGAGATGTGCAGAGTGTAGGGGCTTTGGATGCAGGAAGCTGGGTGGTGTGGAGGGTGGAACAGGTGAGTAGATAAAAGCCAGCTGGGAGAGAGGAAGTGGAACCAAGGCAATAATCACCCATGGAGAAGAGTCCTAAGATGGAGCCCCAAGGCAGGACAGTAGGGGGAGAAGGGACAAGGTGAAGGGAGACCCTGGGAAGTGTGGGGGCACAGAAGCCACACAAAGAAAATGTTTCAAGGAGAAGGCACCCCTTCTCAGATAAGGGGACAGTAGAGAAATGGCACTGGACATGGAATGTGGAGATCACTGGTGACTCTGGCGGTACTTCTGGTGCAGTGGCAG